GTCAGCTATCTCCATACTGCAAACACACACACAATTACACCTGTTAGAAGAGCAATAAGGTCAAACATTAGCACTAATGCATGGTAGGCTTTAACATGACATTCTGTTATTGTCCATCTAGTGCTCCATCAAATCTATTATACAGCATACAACACTAGAAAAATAATCACCCAAGCCCTTATCTTCTCAAATCTAGAATTTAAAATGAAGCCTAATCTGACTGTTCCAAGTACTAAAGACAACAGAGTTGAACTAATATTGGCCCTTACTTCAGTAAAAAGCATCACTGAGCTGGACAACCACCTCATGGCCCTTGCTGCATAGTTACAACTAAAACAAACCCTGTAATTACAAATGAGTCACTAAGCAGTAACACCTCATCACAGGTCACCTGAATCATTCTAGTCGACTGCTCTCTCAGCTTGCAACAAATACAAATAAAACATTCTCAGTTTTTCAGCTGCCTTTTAATTAATGCTTTTTACCATGCACCTGTATTCACTTTCATTTAACATAACTTGGTCTTAGGTAACTGAAACCATGTAAGAGCTAAGGTTTTAAAAGATTTTACAACATCACTATTAAGTTTTATGAGCTTCTGTGATTACATCAGTTGTTTTCTAACAGTATTTCACCTGCCTAAACATCATGAATCCCATTCAACTGATCTGTTCCCTACTTTGTTATCTACTCTGTAGAAATTAGTCCAGTGAATGTGAGTGTCATATATTCACACAAATACAAGAGATTTAGATTCACACGCTTCACTGGAGGTTGGCCTCACATCTGAGATACTAAAACTTTCTCAGAATAACATATGAACTCTTGATTTGATGAAAACTAAAAACCCTTTGTCATATATTAACATACAAATTCACACAAGTACTAAAAAGAAGGGGGAAAAGGAAGAGTAGAAATGAAAGATAAATAGATGTACAATAAGCACTTTTACCCATGGAGCTGCAAACTGTTTTGTGTTGTCCACTTCTTCCATACATCAATGTTTTTCCTCATGGTTCCATCTCCACTAGAAATGAAGTTGAACACGTATATATTACTTGTGGGTAAAATTTCTTCCATACCCAAAGGACTTACAGTTGAAAAGTTAACACTCCTCTCCATGGTAACTAATTCCCTTTTGCAGTACTTTCATTTCTACACTATCTTTGTTGTTCAGTAACCACATTTAAGTATCACTTCGAATGAGAAAAGGTCTCCTTGATCTGGTATTCCCTTACCTAAGACAGTTTAAGAGCTCCAGCTCTTTTGGAATTTAGTAAGCAGGATAACGCTCTCGGTAACACAAAAATTCTAGTACACAGAAGATACCTGCAGGGGACGTCACACAAAATCCTGTCATAGAAGAGGATCTCTTTTCTTCCATCCACATCTATTTGTAGATTAGGGATACTGGAGGCATCGTGATTTACCACCATGATACACGGACTGTTTAATCGTTTAGCCTGATGAACCAGCAAGTAGCAGCGCTTGTTGTCAACATCATTAGCAATTACAAAACCCTCTGTGAACATAAAGCAGTAGAAAAAAGCTTTACTATTTAACAATTTAATAATTTACAGCTTATTGCTCATCTTCACATTCACATAAATCTTTTACCAGATATTTTTATTTAGGAAACTACTTATGAACAGTGGACACTCTCCTGAAAGTAAATTAAACATGGTGAGGTTTAATAACTATGACTAATACACTCTCAAATTTTCTAACTTCAATTCAGCTGAAAAGACACAGATAAAGTTCCTTCCACTTTTCATTCTCTGAGTAAAACCCCTGGAACAGAGATAAAGCCTTCACTGCCACTGAAGACAACCTCTGTGCATCAGATGTGTAATGCAGAAAGAACCCATTCCCAAGCTCACCAGTTCTATGGACAGTATTTTCTGTGAGCATTTAATTAAACGTAAGTATTTGGAAGTTTAAGCCTGAAGCAACTTAAGCCAAGCGTTTGCAGGAAGCCACTAAAACACAGAGGCAGATAAGATACCACCTGCTAAATGCACTTATGTATAAAAATTAAGCTGTGATCACATCTACTACAGTCTGGACTGTGAAGATAACCAATGCATCTCTCTCCTTCAAGCCGAAGAAGCCCACAGAAGTTTCAAGGACAAGACATAGGTCCTTCCAATCTCATACAATCAACAAACTACAGAATTTAGTAGGTAGGTAAATGCAGTTGCTTTCTGGGATATTAAAGGTAACCTACAAGAAAACAAAATGAAAATTTGAAGCCCCAAAGGTTTTTGATAGTTTGTCCAAACTTACTGGGAAAAGGAACATTCATGTCTGCATGCAACATTTCAATGAGTTGAGCAGTCTTAGATCCAGGTGCAGCACACATATCTAGAATCTAGAAACACAAATGGTTAAAAAAAAAAACCCAACAACAAAACAAAACAAGCAAGCTATGCGCTTGAAAAAAACTTACTGTGTTGTTGTTTAAACAGAATAATTATAACCACTGAGGACACTGATCATCAAGAAAAAACACAAAACTAATTCACCAAGGAATGCAGTTTTAACTCAAGTGGCTAAAACAAATATAAGTTCTTTACCTGGAGGGTGGTGAGGCACTTGTACAGGTTGCCCTGAGAGGCTGCAAGTGCCCCATCCCTAAAGGCATTCACATCCAGGCTGGACAGGACCCTGAGCAGCCTGATTTTGCCAGCACAGGACATCAATGCTGCCACTGTAGTTTCCAGCTTATGAAGCAATATTCTATGAAGATGCCACATTGTGTTTTTTAGTTACCTTGTGATCAGGGTTAACGTTAAGCAGCAGAGGTGGGATCATGCTAACAGCCTCCTGACGACTGATGTTTCCCTTAAAAGGAGAAACAAAAAAATCATTTAACAGGAGAAAAAGCATTTCTTTTGTGTCAGATTTTTTAAAACTCTGGGAACGAAAATAATGAAACAGTCAAAAACACAAACTTGGCTTACAAACTCAGGGTTAAATTTTAACACTTAAGTAGTATCTCATCAAGATGAAGTTTCTGAGAACTTCAGATTTACTCCATCTGCATTAACTCTACAGATCTAATTTCTGCCCAGATGAAATCAGAAATTTACTTCAACCAAGTAAAAGTGAGAAACACCAATCACTAAGGGGAACTTTTTGTAATACACACACACACAGCATTTACCATACTCAAACACCTGCCTGTTTAACAAGCAATAGTTATAAGCTGGGGGTGTTCACTTGGAAAAGGGTCTAGGGAAGGATCTCAGTATGTAGAGAGTAGCCATAAAAAAAAGAAGGGAACAGACTTTTTAGCATGGTCTGTTGGGACAGAACAAGAAGAAATGATTTCAAACTGGAAGATGGGAGAATTAGATTGGATATTTTAAAAAAAAAAAAAAAAAAAAAAAAAAAAAAAAAAAAAAAA